TTTAAAAGTGCAACAGAAAACGTTTTGTAATGATGAGATGATTTGATTTATGTTTGATGAAGATCAAAGTGATTGGTGTTACTTACTGACGATTATGATCAGGATCACCAAGCCGATGACGCCCATTATTATCATCATCTAAATATGGAAGAAACGATCGTTTAAGTTGTTGTTGTTGTTAATTTTGTTGTTGTTTTCTTGTACCTTTAGGTTTTGAAGCCAGAATTTCCGCTTCAACTTCCCGGCCTGCTGCTCGAACTGCGAAGCGCCCTGCTGCAGAGCATCTGAAACAAACGAAGCAATCGTTATTGAAATTTGTTTTTGCTTTTGTTTTTTTTTATTTTTGTGATCATCACCTGCTCTGTCGTCGAGCTCTGAGAGCTTCTGATCTCGCTCGAGGACCTTCTCGACGTTGGTCTTCATGATGTCGACGACCTCGTCGACCTGCGCCTGGGTCTGCTGCAGCCTCTTCTGGGCGGCGATCTGCTGGGGCGTTCTCGGCCCGCCGATCACCTCACCGTCGGGACCGGCGGCTGGCGTCGGGGCGCCGAGGTTCTCAGCTCCCGGTGCGGACCTGCAGATGAACAAAAAAGCGATATGAAACAAACGAAGAAGTTGTCGACGTGACAGATAAAAGAAGAAAATGAAGAACGTTGTTATGGAGGAAAATCGATGGGCCACTTGGCACGATTAAATTACAACAAACAAACGACGGACAGACGTTCGAAACCGGTCGATTCGGAACGCTCCAAATTGGGATGCGCTTTTCATAAACATATTAACGACTTATCATTATATAATACTGCACAGTTTATGGACAAATCATCGTAAATAACGTTCATAAATTTTATATTGATAAATTATAATAGTAGAACTTTAATAAGTTAATAAAATTTCGAAATCTTTGTGAAAACAGCGGTACTGAATCTATGGAGTCCAATATTGGGTCACGAAATGACAGCTGTCACCTTGTGTCATACACAAATTAACGACTTATCATATATAATACTATACAGTTTATGGACTAATAATGGTAAATAACGTTCATAAATTTTAATAGCAGAACTTTAATAAGTTAATAAAATTTCGAAATCTTTGTGGAAACAGCGGTACTGAATCTATGGAGTCCAATATTGGGTCACGAAATGACAGCTGTGACCTTATGTCATACACAAATTAACGACTTATCATATATAATACTATACAGTTTATGGACTAATAATAGTAAATAACGTTCATAAATTTTATATTGATAAATTTTAATAGTAGAACTTTAATAAGTTAATAAAATTTCGAAATCTTTGTGAAAACAGCGGTACTGAATCTATGGAGTCCAATATTGGGTCACGAATTGACAGCTGTCAACTTGTGTCAAACACATATTAACGACTTATCATATATAATACTATAGAGTTTATGGACTAATAATCGTAAATAACGTTCATAAATTTTATATTGATAAATTTTAATAGTAGAACTTTAATAAGTTAATAAAATTTCGAAATCTATGTGAAAACAGCAGTACTGAATCTATGGAGTCCAATATTGGGTCACGAAATGACAGCTGTCAACTTGTGTCAAACTGTCAAATAAATTAGGTTATAGACAATTGGGTCGCAGTGCAATTACAAATAAAAATGTTGAGAAACGCTGATGTATAATGTATCAATGTGAAATACTAAAATTGTATTTAAATTGATTATAATTTGATGTGAAACTATTTGAAATCGAAATAATTGCTTAAATTAACGAAATTTCTAATCTAAAATAAATTAGTATACTATAGAAATAATTGTGGAAAATTCAAATTTAAGCAATACAATAGGGTTTCGATCAGGGCGGATTCACTATAGTACGATTATTGAAAATGTATAGTTTTAACAATTTGTTTAAATTTATAAATTTTTGGAAATAAATTAATAAAATTATAATTAATTGAATCAATAAATAAAGCTATGAAAATATTGATGGTTTATCAAAAATTCGATATTGATGAGGCAAAAACGAAAACCTTTAAAAGGTTCGAGTCGGCTGCTGTCAATGCTGAAAATGATATTTGAAAGGTCAGAGAGTGCTGTGCCCTGTGTGTCCCGGGGATTCTCTCGCCCACGGAATTGCGAAATTCACGAATCGATGATCAATTTAAAAATAAAATAAAATAAAATAAAACATCATGAAAATCAACATGATGAGTACGAAAATAACCACAGAATTTGCGTTAATTAATTTTAGTAATTAAAAATATGTAGAAGAAGTGTTTGGAAGAAAAAAAAATGAGAAGTGAAGGGCTGATCGATGCACGGCGATGTCATTGGTCCGGCCTAATGCCATTGATTCTTAAAACCGTTTTAAAAGGAAGCGACATCTTCAGACTACAGCACAAACCGTGTGCAGACTTTCAAAATAGAAAATTTCTCAAATTAAAATTTTAATTAATGAATTAATGAAGTATTTTACTGTTGAAAAGTTGTTGGTTCAATGAACATAAATTGATTAAAGTGTGTTTAAAGAAAGAAAAGAAAAAAAAAACGTTGCGCGAATTCGCGGAAAAAATCGATTTTGTGTGTGTGGAAACGGTTTTAATTATAAATTTTCTATTTAACGAATAACAATTACATTTCGACTGTTTCAATCAATAAAGGTTTCGTACGTCGCAACAATAGACGCGAGTCGAAGGAAAAGCGCGAGAGGATTCGGGGCGTCGCGACGCCCTTCCGTTTGTCGCTCCAAAATCTAAACTATTTTACAACTTTTTCTCTATTGGATTTTCAAAGCTCGTTGTGTGTCCTAAATGTTCATGTTTTTTTTATATCTTTATTCCTAGTATGATGAGTGTATGCATAATTTGTTGTTGTTGTTGGTGGTGGTGAATGGTGAACTTACATTGCTTCGCTTTAGGCACTCTCCTTTCAGAAGTTTACAAATGAATTGTTGAAATTTCTTCTCTTTTTTTTTCAAATAAAATAATCCACAGAGTGCGTTTTTAACCTCTTGGCGGAGTGGAAGATATAATGGAATGTGCAGTTCGGACGAGGAGGAATCGAGAAGGCGGCGCGGCGCGCGCGCTCCGCATGCGCCCTCTATCATCCTCCTCCGCTTTTCGCTCCTCGCATCCGCCGGGAAAATCGATTTCCACGACGCCCCACGCAATAAATAATTTAATTAAACGCATAAAAGAAATATCTATATATATATTTGTACGTATACGTAATTCCAGGATTTTGTTGCAATGAAAACTTTAAATTAGAATTTGTTTCGCGCACTTCTTGTTACTTACATGATTCTCTGTAGATACTAATTGGTGTCTTCGTTAAGTAAAGTCGATTTCTTTTGGTGTTTCAGTTGCTGTTGTTTCTTTATTGATGGTTTCTTTGAAATAATTTGGTTGCTTTTCTTTCCGGAAAAAAAAATTATGGGAATTCGCGTCGCTAGGAGCTGACGACGGAGGTTTCGACTGAGTCCATGTATTGACTCGTCGAAGACGTCACATTGGCGTGTTGCGCGAGCGCACTGCCTCCTCTTCCTCCATCCCCGTTTCGTAACCTGGAGGAGGAAAGAGCGCGCGCGCGCTGATCTTTGTCATAGGTCGTGGTGCAACCGATATTTTCATCCACAGAAATCCTCATCATCATCATCTTCAAACCAAAGAATTGGAATAAAGTAAAGAAAATCCACGTTCATCAATTTTATTCATTCACTCGAATCGAGCGACAAAAGAAATAGAAAAGAGCAAAAGAAATGCAACAACAACAACAATAATAACAATAACGTTTCATTGGCTCTTCACATCTTCGGTTTGTTGTAGTATTTGGCGGGGAGGAAGGGCATCTTCGCGACGACAGCTTTGTAGATTTTGCCGCGGATCTTGAGGGAGAGTTCGGTGCCGGGTTTGCTGTATTCCGTCTGCACGTAACCCATGGCGACGTTCTTCGAGAGGGATGGTGCCGGGCAACCGGAGGTTACCGTGCCGACGTCTTTGGAGCCGGTCGAGTCGGCGATGACGGCGTCGTGTCTGGCCGGAGGTCCTCCTTCGGAGATGAGGCCGACGCGTTTCGTCTTGCTGCCTTCTTTGATCTCTTTCACGATCGCTTCAGCTCCTGGGAAGTCTTTGCGCTCCCTGCGCGTCTTATCCACCAGCCAAGTCAAACCGGCTTGAACCGGAGTGGTCTTCTCATTGATGTCGCTTCCGTACAGACAGAGACCAGCCTCCAATCTGAAAAGATCAAGAAATTTCAATTTAGCATTGTGTCTACATTAGTTCCAAGATTATAAATCCACCTCTTGTCTTCCAAAAACAATGGTTTACAACTTAATACAATTAGTTTTTAATTAATTATGAGAATAAAATATAAAAATATGCAGAATACAAATTGTAAGTTACCTCAAGGTATCTCTTGCACCTAGACCTGCCAACTTGACGCGTTCGTCCTTGAGGATCTCCCTGGAAACCTCCATGGAGAGGATAGCAGGAATGGAGATTTCGAAGCCGTCCTCACCGGTGTACCCGCACCTGGTGATCCTGCAGCCCTGCACTCCTGCAACGCTCGCCACAGTCGAAGTCATGAAGTACAGCTGACTGAGATCGACGTCCGTCATCGATTGCAGACAATCGGCGGCTTGTGGACCTTGCAGAGCGATGAGTGCACGTTCCCTAGGTTCGAAGAACCTCATCCTGATATCGCAATCCTTGTTCTTCGACCTGTGCGCTTCCAAACCGCGAAGCATATGCGCCTGATCGTGATCCTTCCTACCAGCGTTCGAAACCACGAAGAGATGATCGTCCTCGATTTTAGTGATGATCAGATCGTCGAGAATACCACCAGCCTCGTTGGTGAAGACAGTCAACACGGAAGAGTTGACCTTCAACGCGCGCAAATTGGCCGTGACTATAGTCTCCAGATAATCCAAACAACCTTCGCCTAAAAAGAAGCAAATTTCAATTAAATAACTAGATTAATCAGTTAATACGATTCTCACCTCTGATCTCTGTTTGAAGCATGTGAGAGACATCGAACAAGGAGGCGCTCTTCCTGGTGAAGAGATGCGACTCGGAGATGCTCTGATCCGCGTACTGGACGGGAAGCATGAAGCCTCCGAAGTTGATCATCTTACCGCCATTCTCCACGTGGAAATCATACAAAGACGTGTTGACCGCCGCCGCTTCGGAAGCGAAACCCCTCCTGACGAGGCCTCCCAGCAATCTTCTGCACAGCATTTTCGGTCTTCTTCAGTTCACCGCAGATCGGACACACGCAGATCGGGCACGCTCTTTCTCTAGCTTGGTCACAAAAACTCTGAGCCTCGTCCGCTTATCTAGAGGTCACAGATCATTACATAATTAAAAGAGCGATAATGTCGCGTGACGCTTCTATTTTTCTTCCTTCCTTCACTCTTCACGCATCTCTTGCATATTCATTCGCATCGACAAAAAAAAAACCGCACTTAATTACAAGTTAATTAAAAGCAAATCAATCATCGCTTTTAATGAATTTAACAACTCTTCAGCAAAGCGAAAACTCTATCCACGCTTTTCAAACGAATCTATTTATATGAAAACATTCTAAAATTAAGAGATTGCATTATCTCATTAAATCTTAATCATTAAATAATATCGATTTATAAAAACAAATAGAAACAATTTCGTTCCGACTGATGAAATTTAGAAGATCCGTGTGTAAATCTTAATATAAACACAAATATTGTGACCTAATTAACAACATTGTTAATGTTTGTTAATTCTCAAACACAAATAACACCGATAAATTTCTTAAAACTGCGCACTTGTCTCATCGAAATCAATTTAATCAAAGAATTGTTATTATTGCTGCAATTCCATACAAAACAAAAAAATATATCACAAACTGTTATTGCTTCTTGATCCATACAAAATACACTAAAAAAAGTTTCTTCTAAATCACTTTGTGAAAATTACAAAACTAAACAATGAATGACATCAATTTTACTGTTATTTCATGAACTCGCACGAATTAAAACTGGTATTTTGCCTTGAAATCTATCTAGTTTTGAGCGATTGGAAGGAAAAAAGAAAGAAATAGTTGAGATTTGGAACAAAAATAAGTAAATAAATACAATCTTCGATGCTTTTATAGATCTTTTTATAATAGTAGATATACAAAAAAAAGTCTAATTAAATCTAATTAAATTTTATAGGAACATTAATTATAATAAAATAACTCATTATTTTTTTTATATATTAAAACTTATAATTGATTTTTAATGAGTTTTTCAATTTAAAATTTATGATTTGTTTGTGAAAAATACAGAAAATATGGACAAATTTTAATAAATAAATAAATCTCTTATTTCTCTTAGACTTAACGATATTTTCTAAACTGAATATGGAAATTAAAGAATTAAAATCACATTTTAAAATGATTGCAAATTGTATGAAAAAAGCTAATACAAACTTTGCTAAATGTTTTATAAGTAAATAAAAATCTAGTAAATATTAATTAGTAACTAAATATTGAAATGAAAAGATTAAAGTTGAAATTCCAAAGCTTATATAAACAATTGAATACGAAAAAAATATGATTTTGTTTGCAAAGGCGACTCGATTCAAGGAGAGTCGACGGCGCGCGCGGACGACAAAATCAATTCGCGTTACATCATCACTCCGCTCTCTGTTTACATTGTCGAATGGCAAAACGAGCGTCAAGCAGTTGCGGTTCAGCAACTATGGAAGATAAAACGAAGACGCAACGTCCGGGGAAGTCCCGAATGCGGAAAAAAAAACAACAAAATGTTGGGGAAAATTAGCAACAGAAAACCGGAGCGTTCTATGACTGGCAGAGAGCGTTAATCGATCGGACGGAACAACGCAAAACTGTCCATTCGCGGCGACCTTTTCCAATCCATTAACCGGGAACAGTAGCTGTCCGCAAAACGCGAAAAAAAAACCACCGAGGATGCAGAAGAGATTGCATCAAACGACAAAAGGTATCAATCTATTTAAAAATTTAATAAAAAAAAAATTGTTATGTAACGTGAAGAAATTTGTTTTTGCAGGTGATTGAATCAGCGATCATCATCGATAATGGTGAAGTGTTTTTTTGGGGTATAGTTATCGATTGAAATACTTACAGTTTGTTTGCAGATCAAATTCTTCTTTCTGCTGGGATTGTGTTGCTGTTGTTGTCTTCTGGTTGAAGTCAGGAGCAAGGTCTTCAGTCCGGAAGAATTCGGTGAAGTGATGAGGAACGCGAGCGGAGTGAACGCGTCGCACATCGAAATTTGGAAATGCCTCGTCAAATGGGAGTCCTCCTTCGACACAGCTGCACACAACACAAAGAGCGGTGACCACGGAATCTTCCAGATCAACGAGAAATGGTGGTGCTCACCTCCAGGTATAAAAAAAATAAGACAATTTTCCCCCCTCAACAAAGACGAAAGAAAAAGTAACATAATAACAATAATAGTACGGACCTTTTCCTTTTTTTTTTCTTTTCTTCTCTTCTCTTCTCCTCTTCCTTGAAACGTTACCCACTGCTAATTATTACCTCCGCTGCATGACGTGACGTCAGATTAGATTACCTCTGTTTTGGTCGTAAACGTAATTGGATTTTAATTGGATTTCGTTCATTGCCATTCCTTCTTTCCGCTACAGGTAAATACTGCCAGGTTGCGTGCGTTTCGCTGAGGGATGACGATATCACCGATGACATCGAGTGCGCTTTGAGCGTCTACGATGAGCACGAGAGGATCTCCGGGAACGGATTCAGAGCTTGGCACGGATACACCAAACACTGCATGAATGTCACGGCGGCCGAAGAACCTGAGCTCGATTTAAAAGAAAACGAAACGATTTGAATATGCATTTCTTTTAATAATCAATAATAAAAACTGTTCATAAACGTTCTCAATAAAACTGCTTATTATCAATTGTTTCTAAAGAAATCACCCTAGTTACCACAAAACACGTACATTCTCTGACAGTTTGCATTGTTATTAAAAGTCAGGGCCGTGAGGTGTCACGTATTTTAGTTAATTACTCAGAAACTGCAATAGATTGAATGGATCCAAAAGTTAACGTTCACATTTTAGTGATTTTCTCGGAAACTATAAAAGATAGAATGGATCCAAAGGATGCATATTAAAGTTGAATGTTTGGGGAATCTAGCATGTATCGATATATTAATGTGGTTTTAGCCGTTTGGCTGTTATTCGTGCTCAAAGTTGAAAAAAGCAGTGTTTTTACATTTCATTGATTTTCTCGGAAACTATAATAGATAGAATAGATCCAAAGGATGAATATGAAAGTTGTATGTTTGGGGAATCTAG